GTTTTAACCTCATCAACAGGACAATGGAAGAATATTTGAATAACTGAATTTTCCACAAAAAAAAACACATTAAAATACAGTAGTCATAGCTGACACACACACACACACACGCACACAAAACACGTTGTGTTTTCATGTTTTATGGAAATCTTCTGTAGACAATGACTTTTATACTGTATAACTTTGACCAGGGCAGTCTGCAGTGGTCCCATATTCACCATCATTTAACCCTGGAGAACCCAAGGACCCTTTTCTTGTTTGGAAAATTATGAACAATGCATTAAATTACTGCTATAAGTTCACTGAACACCAAAATATCCACGTTTTCAATTTTAACCCTTTATTCCCTATTTTAGGATATAGGGCCAAATTTGACCCATTGGGCTTTAGGCGTATTATTTAAAAAAAAAATCATTTTAACAAATTCTGTCATTGCAAACTATTTTAAATGAAAATAATCAGTCAACCACACAGCTACATTTAACAATGTTTTTTTTTTTTTTCTGTTGCTTTATTTGTTGCATGTTAGAACTGGATTTCAAATGTAAAAACACTTTGGCCAATGGAAACAAGAACACAAGGCCAAAATCACTACCTGAAAAAACTAACACTATGGGTCTTTGCTTATCCAAAAATCTGTTCTGCTAGAGAGAGGAACTAACACTAGACATTGTGGTAGTCTTTGAAACAGTTTATTTTTTTTGTTGATGCAGAGAGGAATTGCACATTTTTTCACAGTGCCGGAGTGGCCATACTCCCTGATAAGATATACTACTTTATTAGTCTCTGGCCCTGTACTACTGAGGTAACTTAGTAAAATTTATTATACAAATGAAATTATTTCAAGGCTTTAGCCAAATACAGGACTGTCACCATTCTCCATCAAAGTCACTCAAAGAACCAAAGGGTCATTTTTGACCCGACATTTGTTTAACCCAGTGGGTCATTTTTGGCCCATTGTTTTTTGAACTAGCTCAGAGTTGCTAATTTATCAAAAAAAAAAATATATATATAACGTACTTCTAGGCATTCTGCAAGCAATACAATACTAAATAGATTAACAAAAAAATATACAATTTTATCTACCGCTGGTTTGCTGAGAAGACAATTTTGTTTGGATAGGTTTAGAGCTCAACAAAACAGCATGTGGTCAGCCATCTTGTTACTACCACTCTGACACTTGTGAGTTCAATATTCATCCACCAGGTGTCTCTATGCAGTGGCCAGAAGTGGCACTCTGTGCTTTCGAAGTTAAATTTAATTTTTACAGTTTTTTTCGATTGCTTAAGCACAATTTCGAAAACAGGGCCCGGTTTGTCACCTGATATGTTAATCACCAGGTTTCAATGGAAAGTTACTGAATCCCCCTACCATGTTTATTGGGGGCAGACCATTTGCTTGGTTGTAATTTGCATTCAGACAACAAGGCAGAAGGTGTTAACTCAAAGACCACACTCCTTTGTGTGACAGTGATTCCTAAACTTCTTAAAAACCTTATTACCTTTTTTTTTATTACTTTAGGAATGAGACATTATTACCAGTCACCCTGAGACCATCAAAATGATTCTAAACAATCCTTAAAGATTATCAGATTCACATTAAAACCATATTCTTGTGTGAGTTTTCAGTATCATTAACTGAGAGAGTGAAAGAGAGAAGATGCAGATAAGATGAAGAGAAAAGGGGGTAGGGTGTCAAATGTTAATTTGCAAGCAATGAATTTGTCTTTAGAGGCCACTGGTCAGATATTTTCTCTTTAACCAGTTTTTCCAGTCTTACAGCACGGACAAATCACACTAACCCTAGGACTCTTTCGATGTGGAAGAACTGGATATCTATAGTCAAGGAATTTTTGTCTACTTAATCTGCAGCTACTTATGGGTGTTGTCATTAACATTATTTTATTTATTTTTTTAAATTAATTTTATTTGTTCCCTTTTTATTTGATAATGCTCAATGTCCCGAAGTGCTATGGTTAAGGTGTGGGTGTGGGGTGGGTTAGAGGGGAATTAGTAGCCATATAAGTTTTCTTTCTTATTGTACAAAAATGTTGTCAACTTTTTTCAAAATAAATAAAAACACTAAATTACCAAAAAAAAAAAAAAAATTGCTGATAATTTACTCACCCCCATGTCATCCAGAATGTCCACGTCTTTCTTTCTTCGGTCGAAAATAAATTAAGGTTTTTAATGAAAACATTCCAGGATTTTCTCCATATAATGGACTTCAATGGGAACCAAACGGTTCAAGGTCCAAATGAGTGTTTCAATGCAGCTTCAAAGGGCTTTAAACAACACCAGACGATGAATAAGGGTCTTATCTAGGACCCTTCGAGTCATGACTCGAAAAAAAGATTTGTTGATTTTGATGAACGAGTTTGAACAGGAGTCACGAATGCGCATCACAGAACAGAGCAAGGCGAGTATTTTTGCTTATAAAACTTACATTTTTTAGTTTATTTTTTAAATGACCGCTCGTTTTGCTAGATAAGATCCTTATTCATCGACTGGTGTCGCTTAAAGCCCTTTAAATCTGCACTGAAACTCTCATTTGGACCTTGAATTCCGTCATTACTGTTAATGTAGTGAGTGTGTTGGGCTGATAAAAATAACTCTAATTCACTAATACATAAATGAGAGGAAGACTTTATTACATCATAAACAAGAGAATCATGTACATTTATATACCAACATGACATCATGACTTTTGCGAGTTAACTCTCTCGAGTCAAGTGGCGTGTTATCTCCACACATTTTGAGCTATCCGCGTGTATCCGCGACGGTGTATGTCTACGCCATTAATGTCCGAGTGATTCCGCGTGTATGTACACGCCGTCAAATGTCCGAGCGAAACGAAGCAAAATGTAGATCTACATCTGGGGAGTGATATTTTTTTCTTAGGATGGCGAGGGAGACTCATAAATGCTATTAACCCCAGTGACGGGTAGGTTTAGGGACGGGGTTGAGGTAGGTCATATATTTTTATATGTAAGGGTTAATGCCCGACGAGGTGTCCATGGGCTATATGCACGCATAAGTTCCGCATTTGACGCAAGGATGCTCGTCCATTTCCGGTTGTGGAGATTTAAGCGGAGGAGAACCGAGGAAAACGGGATTATGGCAGAGTCTTCAAAATTTACTGTCCTCCCGTCTTTGAAACGAAACATACATACGTTTAGAAGTAATTTTATATATAGTTATGTTTATTTAATATAATTTTAAAAAGAAGCATAAACACAACGAGGGGTCGACTAACGTTTCTTTATTATAACCATGGAGTATAAAGTTCAATATAAATTCTCAGTATTGCATTGGACTCTACGATCGGCGGAAGTTATCGAGCATCCTTAATCCTTCACCGGAAATACCGTCGTGCATAGATCCCATTGTCAGGCTTTAATGGACGACGGCAGGCATGAACCGGCCGACGCGCAGCGGAGGACGGTTGCCTCCGCCGAAGTCCATTAAAACCTGACAATGGACACCTCGGAGGGCATTAACCCGCTTATACCATGGTTACTTGCCAAATAAAACATTTTTAAAACATTAGTTTATATTTTAATTAGGCTAAATCTAGTTTTTTCAAATAATAACTTGCCTGACGATTTATTTAGTAACTTGAGATATAGTCCGCTCAGCTTGTAGAACCCCTTAGGTTCAAAAATGCTTTTTTTTTTTCATGAAACACAAAGGTAACGTTAGGCATAGTTATTTTTTATACACTATGTGTTAGACTAGTCTACACTAACCACCGCTGTAGATCGACTCTCCGATGCTGGACTGGAGATCCGTCAAATAATGTCGGTGACATCGATGCGAGAGCAGTCTGCCGACTTGTAGCCGCCTACACGCTCACTCAATGCATGGATGATCTGACAGGATTAACGTACGTTACCTCGGTTGAGTGGCCTGACTTCTACACCTACCTTATAGAGAAACCGATCGTAAAGAGAAACTGAATCTATGAATATGAATCTTTAGATGCCTATATGGTCCTGTACACGACTTGTGTGAACGATCCGCAGTTCTGCAGAGCCAGCGCCGAGACGACGACAATGTAAAGAGTGAAATTACAGTGTGATTTTAATTATGTGAATATTTTCTATAAATAAAAGTTCCAGATACAGCATATTCATTTTTCAATTCTTGCACCAAACGACACAACAAGATGACATTTAATAATAGTAACAATTATTTAAGCTCATTATTATGTAGCCGAATCTGTGCTGTTTTGTATTGGCCGCCTCCAGTTTTCACTTTGTTTTTGACTCCAGCTAGTGCCGTGACGTAACTGTGACGTCGGCGCAAAAGGGGTCTATATTACTGACATGTGACATGGCCAATAAGAACACAGGATATTATGTCTATGGCATACGATTGGTTCTTAGCAGAATGTAAGAATACTACATAACTAACGTTAGATGTTTGTTTTGATAAAGCAAATTGTTAACGGATACTTTGACTGCCTGTTGCTATGGTTACTCACAGCTGTTGTAGGCAGCGCATTTATTTATAAATTTCGAATGGTAAACAGGCAGTTTCACCAGAACTACTTTACTGGGTGTCCTCGATCACTTTTTAACAGACACCCTGCAGCCAATCAGAATCGAGTATTCACCCAGACCATGGTATAAACAGTAATAACGTTAAGTCAACGGCGTTTATAAGCACGCTGAAAAGCGATTATGCGTGTTGTTGATAGCACACCAAAAATGGAAATACGAATTGGCATGTCATAAACACGCTATTTCATGAGATCAGTCAACCCGATCTCACGACCAAATCATACGAATTCGACGCATGATTAAAAAGTGTCTAATTCGTACTAACTCATACGACCTCACTCGTATGAATTAGTACGATTTTGCTAAATCGTACATATTTTACGAATTGGCCAATTCGTATGAATTCGTACGAATGACCTACCCCTTACCCCGCCCCTAAACCATCATGTGGATTTAGACAAATCGTACAAATTCGTACGAGTGAGGTCGTACGAATTAGACACTTTTTAATCATGCGTCGAATTCGTACGAATTGGTCGTGAGATAGCGTAGGATCAGTCTGTATATACAGTAAACCCAGTAGGTCATGTGACTTTAGTGTTGATGATGTCTCTAGTGGCTCCATATTCACCATCATCTAATATCTGTTAGTAAAAGAAAACACAGAAAGTAACACATGCATTACTGACAGATCTGTTCAGAGGATTAACTCGTTCAAATTACATTATTATATTATGTTATGCGAATCAATACTTACAATAGTGTCTCAAGTTTATAATGTGGATTATCTTTTAAAGCAGAGAGACTCTTCACACTTGCATGTCTTAATCTGTTCTCAGTCAGATCCAGTTCTCTGAGGTGTGAGTCTGATCTCAGAGCTGAAGCCAGAGCAGCACAACCTTCTCTTGTAAGATTACAATCACTCAACCTGCAAAACAACAACACACACTTCAATCTCTCCGTTAAACAGGAACTACACAACCACATAAAGACTGAGATATTAACCAGGAAAGGAAAGGGTTTATTGTTTTTATTACTTCTTGCTTGATTGTGTATTATCATAAATCACTATAATCCAAAAACATAAGAACAATAATGTTAAATAATTTGATTATTTTTCCACTTCAGATTATTTACATCAATTTCTCCAGGCTACAATGAGGATCTTTCAGTCCACTGGAGAGGAGATACACTCCCGAGTCTTGCAGTTTATTCCCAGTCAGATCCAGTTCTCTGAGGTGTGAGTTTGATCTCAGAGCTGAAGTCAGAGCAGCACAACCTTCAGCTGTGATCTCACAACATCTCAACCTGTAGAACAACAACACACACTTCACTCTCTTAGTTCAACCCACAAAATGTTCAGTGCGGTGGTTCCCCAGGACTGGAGAAGAGAACCACTGATATAAAATGCATTTAAAACCAGTCCTCACTCTATGTCTCTATATTTCCCAATAATATGTCTAAGAAAGATGATATTTAAATGCTTAGTTTTATGATTAAAACTCAGAAATTTCAAAACATAACGCAATGCAATGTTGATTGAGAAATGAATAAAATAAACATTCTTCCAAAGCCTGATGGATAATATCTGATACATTTGAACGTCATTCAAAAAAACGTCGGATAAAGACTGATAAATCAATAAATCTAAGTCACTTCAGTCCAGAAACCCATCATCTTGAAATATTACTAACAATTTAAGTATTATTCTAATATTTACTTAAAAACCTCTGTTAGGCCACTGTACGTGAGCTGTATCGTTTAGGTTCACCACTACATTTTCTTTTGCTCAATATGTTCAACGTTAATAAAAGGTATCCAAACAAAAAGTTCTCCACGCATTATCCTGCAGTTAATGAGAAAGTGTAATTTATTGGTGCACTATATTGACTGCGTATTGAGACATAAAAAACTGTTGAGCTAGATTTTCAACCAATCAGTGTCGAAAATGTAAGTAGGTCATAGCCGAAATCAAGCTAATATCTCTACGCACATGTAAACATGGAGGAGGACGTAAGCAGCACATCTTCATCTGATAGCGGCGATCAAGCTCGACTAACACCCGTAAAGTGTATTTCTATTTCGTTCTTACTGACCACCAGAGGCAGTGCTTCCCACTGAATATTATCTTTCTTGCTCATGCTCAGGTCGAGTCTAATAACAACAAATTCATCACATGACCAGGTACGTCATGGGGATGCCCTCTACTTAACCCCGTGACATCCTGCAACCTGTCTCTTTAATCTTCTCGTATACGTGCAGATTGCAGGTCGAAGAGAGAAAAAAAAAGAAAAAAAACTTTTATTCAGAATACTTGGATTCCGTCAGAGCCATGTATTTAGAGAGTTCTGACAGTCCCATAGACCGCCATTGTAACTCAGGAATGCGGAAGTGACGCATGTCATGGACCCGCCCATTAGTTCCAACCACTGATAGTTCCAGCATTAAACCGCATTCATTTTCAGTGCTTCCGAAGTACGCTCGCTGGTAAATTAATGAAATGACTGTATTTTTTTACTTTTTCACACATTAGCCGACCTCTCGTGAATCTAGTCTGTAGTTATATGTTATGTAGCCAGATCTAGTAAATGTTTATTGGAAGATAATAGGTTAATTGCAGCGATAGCTTACGTGACCAACACTTCACTAATATTGTTAGCTAACTTATGGTTACCTGATGTATATAATATTGTTTTATAACATCATATATATATATATATATATATATATATATATATATATATATATATAATATTAGATATACTATATATATATATATATATATATAACATTAGATATACAATATTATATATATATAATATTAGATATACATACACACACACACACACACAATTTATTTATTTAAATGGTTTAGGGTTATGCATGTGTTTGTGTAATGTATATAGGCATGCATAATATATATATATATATATATATATATATATATATATATATGGGGGGGGGGGAATACATAGTACCTCGTATAAATGTATTTGTGTGTTTTTTCTGATGAATGGTTTAGTCTATGAATAGGGTAGGATGAAGGGCTACATTAGCCACTGAATTGAATCCCAACAGTTATGGATCATATTTAGGAACAAATATTTTACTCATTAACTCATCATCATCATCATCATATCTTTATTCAGGACATACATATTAAATGGTCCATAGCACTATAGAAAATAAAGTACATTCAAAATATAGAAAAGATACCTAACAGTTAAAATTTACCGAACATTACTGTAAATATGGTCATTGCTACGTCATGGGATCAGTCTATATCCCTCCTAAATCATTCATTTGTACATGCACAGCGTATTTATATTTTACGTTGGTTGTCGTGATTGTTATCCTGAACGGGCCACCGGTCCATGGGTCTTTGAGTGATCACGGTAGGCTAATGGCTGAATCGGAATTTATAAGCAAGATCACGGGAATCAATAACCTACATCCCAGTTGTGCTAAAATAAATATCATGAGAGGTCCATCATCAGATGAATGACATGGAAAAGTTAAGTTAGAGCCGCTAAAGCCAGTGCAACTACCAATGCGAACATGAACACAAGCTTTTCCCTCCAAAAATAGTTGTCACCCTGCCTCTCCAAATCCAACACTGACATTAATCAAACGCAATAAAAGCTTAAAAAGTACTTCGGTGTGCGTTTTATTTTATATTTACCGTTTAATAATGCAATCGCTGCTGTCTGTCCATTGAAGAACATGACAGCCCACGTCTGTTTTGGAACTATTGGGGCTTCCATGAACCACGTGACAGCCTTGCGGCGACATCAAAGCGTGTCGCAACTCTCTGAATACATGGCTCTGGATTCCGTCTTTCACAGCCTCGTAACAAACAGTGTTGTTGGAGCCGCGCGTTGTGCGTCCTCCAGAGGCTGCGGTGGATTGAAGACAAACTTACTTTGCTGGAACACGACTGTTTATTCTGGTCGCTGCCAGAGCGCGGTAAGTTGCTTTTAAACACTGGATATTGTTTCTTGAAACGGGTATAAGTGGCATCTCAGAGTGGTTTTGCTCCAATATATATAATATTATACAATATATATATATATTTTTTTGTTACAGACCAACGGCGTTCACTGCAGTTGTATTCAAATTGAAAATACAAATTAGGTAAGAAGATTTATAGATCACACAGTCTTACACATGTAGTATGTAGCTATAGCATATATTTATGTACATACATATCATTGTTTTTGTTTGTGTTTTCTTATATAGGTGTATTTCAAGCAATTGCGTTAAATACGAGTGTTTTCGCTCTGTTTTCTGTACTGTTACCTACCTGGTACTCCTGTTAACAGTGAAAAAATTAAAAATAAAAAAATAAATAAAATGAAAATTTCCACTACTTTGGCTGAAAAAAAAATATTTTGGTCTCTTACCGTTATAGAATTTTTGTGGCTCCCAGAGTGTTCTCGCTCGGCCTTGAATAAAGCACTGGTGTGGCAGTATGGAACAGCTTAGCCTGACGTGCACTGTGTGCACGGCCACTTTACAGCAGGACGATGGACATGACTGCTGTACATCCTGCTTAGGCTTGGAACATTTGAAGCAGGGCCTCACTGAGGATGCCTCTATGAATTGTAGCACCATGTCCTGGGAGCGGATAACTTCCAGACTAGGTGCAGTAGAGGCACTCTTGACCTCAGAGGCCCCTCGGTAGGGAAAAGTGTCGGCTAAGCGGAAAAGGGTGGAAACGGGGAGTGTCTCCACCAGTAAGAGACATAGAGAGGATGCTTTAACCAATAGAGTGGAGGTGTTGACCTCAGAGTTTGCCCAGATTAAGTTTTTAATTCTAAATCTGCAACCAAGGGAAGCACCATCACCGATGTTGAGAAATCCCAGTAACGGATTGCCTGTTCCTGAGGAGGATATGCTGTCCACGGCAGCCTCTCAAAGCCAGTTTCGGGAGGAGGTAAATGAGGAATTCTTATCAGGAAGCCATTCTAACTTCTCTCATGATGACTCTCAGAACACGGCACAGGGTTCAAATGAAGGAGTAGAATTGGATCAGGATGTGGTGAGACAAGCCCTCCAGATTGCGTTGGCATGCTTAAGCCTGGACACTGGCGCGAGCGATCGGTTGTTTGTGTTTGTAGCTCCGGAGAATTTCTTCACAAATCCTTGATTTTCTTCTTTACCACTTATTTATAAACAAGCACTTTCTATTTTTATACTATGTGAACTTATCCTCGATAGTATTCCTTATAAAAAACAATTGGATTGCTTTGATATCGCTACTTATATCCAACCTCCCTAAATCCTGGCTACTAGCCTTTAGCCCGCTAGCATTCCACGCGTGCCCTCTCGCCTATTTGATCGTCTCATTTTACACCCGTTTCACTGAATCCTGGTTATTTCCGACATTTCAATCCTAAATTAGTAGTGATAGTTGTAGTATCACTACTAATTTACTGATCATCCGTTATAATGGCGAACATATCAGATGCGTGTCTAACATTACCTTTGAGTGCAGATGAAGACACATTCGAGCTCTTCACGGTGAAGCAGGAGCTGGAATACGTCGAGAAACAGATCCGCGGTCTGCTGGTGAAGCAAGCCGAGCTGCTGGATCGGGGCTCAACGCTTGAAGCATCACGCGCCGACGCTAACAAATCAAATCACTCTTTGACTCCGAGTTCATCTACGCCGTACGTTACTCTGCCGAGGAAGATGCGATCATCTAAGGCTTCATTCACTCCGGCACCGAAACAACATGGACCATGGATCACACAGCGGAAGACTCGAGCCAGGACCAGAGCTGCCTCTCCGCCCCTCCCGGTCTTCGAGATCTCCACCCGGAACCGCTTCTCCCCTCTTCGCGAGCCGGAACGCGATGACGCCGTGATCATCGGCACATCCATAGTCCGCCATGTCCGCGCTAATTCGGATAAAGGTAAAGTGCGCACTCACTGCTTTCCTGGTGCTCGTGTTCTTGATGTTGCTGCACAGGTTCCCGAGATCCTGAACGGGGACGAGCGCGTCGGAGCTGTTGTGCTGCACGCGGGAGCGAACGACATTAGGCTGCGGCAGACGGAGGTTCTGAAGAAGGACTACAGGAGCCTGATCGAGACGGTACGCAGCACAGCGCCTAAAGCAGCGATCATCGTGTCTGGACCGCTTCCCACGTACAGACAAGGACAGGAAAGGTTCAGTAGACTTTTTGCATTAAATGAATGGTTAATGTCATTGTGTAATGAACAGGGGCTGCACTTTGTAAATAACTGGCATCTGTTTTGGGAAAGACCGAGACTGTACAGCACAGATGGTCTCCATCCCAGCCGAAT